CATCCCTCTTCCCCACCCTCATCTTTACCTATCCTGTTTCTTTAGAATAAGATATGCCTATCCAGTATATTATTACAGGCACAGATCTCATCCTACCAAGTCTCAGTAATACCTATAAAATCACATATGCCTCCTTGAATTAGGATGCCTGGTTAATCTTGAGTTTTCTTTTTTTATGTGCATACCCTTTGACCCAGCAATAGCACTACTAGGGCTGTATCCCAAAGAGATCATACAAATGGGAAAAGGACCCTCATGTACAAAAATATTTATAGCAGCTCTTTTTGTGGTGGCAAAGAATTGGAAATTGAGAGGATGCCAATCAATTGGGGAATGTATGAACAAGTTGTGGTATGTGTGGTATGTGAATGTAATGGAATACTATTGTGCTATAAGAAATGATGAGCGGGCAGACTTCAGAAAAACCTGGAAAGACTTGTATGGTCTGATGCTGAGTGAAGTGAGCAGAACCAGGAGAACGTTGTACACAGTAACAACTGTGCTGTGCGATGACTAATATTGATAGACTTAATCCTTCTCAGCAATACAAGGATCTAAGATATCTCCAAAGGCCTCATGATGAAAAATGCTATCCACATCCAAAGAAAGAACTATGGAGTTTGAATGCAGATCAAAGCATACTATTTGCTATTTTTTTCCCTTCTGTTGTGTTTTGTTTCCTCTTTCTGTTGATTCCTCCTATTGGTTCTAATTCTTAACTACAATATCACTTAATGTGAAAATATGTGTAATAGGAATGTATATGTATAGCCTATATCGGATTGCACACTGTCTTGGGGAGGGAGGGGGAGAAAAATTTAAAACTCAAAAGTATGGAAGTGATTGTTGATAATTTAAAAGAAATAAATTAAAATTTTTTTTAAAATCATTTTTTAACCTATATTTTGTGCATTTGTCTGTAGACAATGAACGCCATGGGTTTTGTTAATGGCTCCTTTTGGGGGGTTTTGTCTCTTATGAATTTCTGAGAATGACTACTTCTATTTTTGTTCTTGTACTGTAACTACAATCTATCTATCTCTGCTGGTGGATATATGCATTTTCCTCCTTCTTGGTTCATTTAAATTTCTTTTAAATAGATTTGCTAGACTGCATACAAATATGTTTTTATTAGCCCATGTTAGGTGCTCAGTCATTTCCATATTTTATGTGGCTAGATGGAAAGTCAGTTCTCATTCTTGAATATCACCTTCTTAACCAGTTGTTCACTTCGAGAGGAGAGAGAGAGAGAGAGAGAGAGAGAGAGAGAGAGAGAGAGAGAGAGAAGAAGAAGAAGAAGAAGAAGAGAAGAAGAAGAAGAAGAAGAAGAAGAAGAAGAAGAAGAAGAAGAAGAAGGAAGAAAGGAAGCAAGGAAGAGAAGAAGGGAAGAATGAAAGAAGGAAGGAAGGGAAGGAGGGAGAGAGAGAGGAAGGAAGGAAGAAATCACATGAGTCTTTTAGGTCTTCAGTATTGCCCAAGACTTTGTAATCTTGAATGATACTTTCTAGTTGCCATACCATTTCTGATCATGTGAATCACCGGAAGTGGGTAGTAGGCATGTGGAATGGCCAACTTTGGGAGAGTCCCTGTCAAGTCTTGGATACTCCTTGATGAAGGGAGTCACCAACCACCCCTATTTGTCCCATCTTCCTCTGACCCTTACTGGATGATCTTTCATTTGCTAGCCCTTCTGGATCCATACCCATCTTACCATTCCTTAGAGGACTAGCAGCTGCTTCCTCTTCATGTAGACAGCTCCATCCTTCTCAAGAAATTCTTAGGATTTAGCTAGCTAATATTTAAATAACACTTGAAGGTTTGCAAAGAACTTTTATAAATATTTCATTTTATTTTCATGACAATCCTGGGAAATAGGTGTTGTTATTATTTCATTGTACGGATGCAGAAACTGAGGCAGACAATGATTAAGAGATGGTCACACAGCTAGTAAGTGACTCATACTGGATTTGAACTCAAGTCTTCCTGGCTCTGTGCCTGGTGCTATAGACACTGAACCACCCAGCTGCCCCAGTAAGTCTTAAAGAAATCTTAAGTTTGTGCAAACCAGGCTTCATTTTGTCCTAACTAGTTTTTAGAAATGTTTTCCCAATCTGCTTCTTTATTCCTAATGTTCAATGGAACTTCTTCCCTTGATTTTCTTCTACCCTCCAACTTCCTACCATCCTGGTTTCTCCAGGTTCTTCATTTCCTTTACTTTTGACATTGAAGTCCTCCTTCTGCTTTGTTAGTTTGATTTCCATTTCTGTTATTTTTCAAGGAGTAGTACTCTCTTTGAGGACCCATAGAGTGAAGCAGCATTTCTTATGCTTTTTTACCCTGTCTTCTAGAAGTGAAAGTAGCCTAGACTTTGAGCATAGAATCTGGCTGAGGCAGAAATACATACATGACCCTCAATGCAGATCACTGTAAATTTTCCCCTGCTCACCATATTGACTAGAAGTGATCATTCCTTGTCCTTGTCTTTTTGCTGGTAACTCCTTTGGAGAGCTTCAGTGGCAAAGGCTTCTGGGGGTCTTTAACTCTGACCTTCTCTCTCTCCTCACCTCATTAGAACCCTGTTAGCACCTTGACACCTACACTGAATTTTTTTCCCCTTCCCTCCTAGTCTGAACCAACTTGTCATACTAACCTTGTCCTACCAACTACCTTCCTCTTTCTCCTCCTCTTTCTTCTCCTTCAGCTTGTCTTTGACTTCTTGACTTTCTCTACCTTCAGCTCAGCTCTGTCATTCCTTCCTTTTGCCTGAGTCCTTCTCTTCCTTCAACTTCTCCTCAAGTCTTCCTAAATTTCCACCTTGTAAAGTCAAACTTTCTTCACAATCCCGTAGCCCTTCAAAATACCTTCCCAGTTGTGTCTTACTCTTGCTTCTTTTCCCACAAATTTCTCGCATGGAAACCAAACCCTGTTGCTCTCTGGACCACGGCTGGAATGGAGGTACTTTGACAGACATCCCAGTCTGATAGCAGAAAGAGAATTTCATCCATTGGATCTGATTTGGGCATTTAGGGCATTGCAGCAGGACATTCCTCTAGGGCCTCATTGACTCTAGAGGGCTCTATGTGGAACCCACTCTGTAGGATGAATGAGGAAGGGTCTTTGTGGCAGTTAGCTCTATCTCATAGGACCCTCCCTCCCTAGCAGAGGAGTTGCCCAGGCAGCCAGCAGAGGGGGGTGCTATCCTTCCAGATCTGGCTTCAGCTTGGAAGTCTGGCTTTTGAGTCCAGAGCTGTTGTCTGGGCTGCAGAATCACCTCATCTCAAAACTAGGAGGTACCTCCAAGGTCATCTAAGTGCAAACACATCTGAATCATGAATCCTTTTAAAAGCATCCCTGACCAGTAGTCATCCATATCAAATATTAGAACTGGAAGAAGCCTTAGAAATTGTATCATTTCCCAATGCTTCATTTTAGAAGTGAGGAAATAGGGACCCAGAGAAGGGAAATGACTTATCATAATATTAGCATTTATCAAATGCATAATCTCATTTGATCCTCACAGCAACCCTATGCAGTAAATGTTGTTAATAACCTATTTTATAAATGAGGAAACTGAAATAGGGAGAGGTTAAGTGACTTCTTAAGGGCCACACATCTAGTAAGTATCCAAGGCAGGGCTCACACTCAGGTTGTCCTGTCTGCAAGTCAGGAAATGCTCTAAGCATTGTACCACATGGTGGCCTCTAGCCGTGGCCTGTGGTAGGGCCACCACTAAATGTCTGGCCAGTGTTCTTTCCACTATACCACACTGCCTCTTTCCTTGCCAATGGCCAAACCAACCACATCCTTTCTCTTCCAACTGTTAAGGTTAAGAGGCTCCCCTTCATCTCTTGTTTGGGATCTCCATCTCTGAGGGTTTATCAGACATCTCTGAGAGTGATGGGATATGCTCCCTACTTTGCTTCCCACAAAGTTGGCTCAAATTCTAAACTCTTCTCCTTTCATCCAGAATTCTTAGGTCTAAAGGATCCGAATCCTACGCCACAGCTCACCCTTCCCTTACCACTCCCTACCTCATCCTCTGAGCAACTCGTGCTGTGAGGTATGGAGGATTCGTCTTATGCTAAGAGATCCCTGGGGTTGGGGAGTAAGATCGGGTTGACTATTCAAGCAATGGGCACACCAGCAGTAGAGGCCGCAAAGGGTTAATGACTGCTGGGGCTAAGTGACTCCAGATGTGCTGGACCAGCCTGTGGTTGATCATGACCAGAAGCCAGGCTACGGCTCCGCTTCCCTCAGCCACCCCCTCCCCTCCCTGGAGATACCCCTGGTCCCCAGTCTAGAAGGAGGCAGGCAAGGCCTTGCCCTCTCTGCCAGCCCTGCCATGGGCACTCTGGCTCTGAGTGCAATCATAGAACATGAGACCTCGAATTTCAGAACTGGAAGGGAACGTAGAACAGAGAGTGCGAGAATCGGACGGACCTCAGAATGTCCGAGCCGGCAGGACCCTTACAAACCATTTTAGTCCAACCCATTCATTTTGCAGAGAGGGAAAATGAGGCCCAGAGATTGGGGAGCAGCAGGCTACCCAACAACATTGTAAAGAATGATTTCCAGTTTTTCCTTCTTTCCTGGGGACCCTCTCCCAGAGGTGCACAGGTAGGCACTGCCTGAGATCCCTCTGCCTAGCATACAATCCCCTGACACCCTGGTGATCACAAGGTTGCCAACCTCTGATCCCACCTTACTGTCAGCAGTAGAGCCCCCAGACCTTATTTGTGTCCGGCCTGGGGAGAGGAGAGGGGAGGGGAGTCACCACCCTGGGCAGAATGGGCTGGCCTCTCTTAATACAAATGACTCAGCTGCTGGCGTGGGCTGTGGAATTTCTAAACATCCCCTCATATCCTGAGAAAGAGGGAGAAGGCAGAGAGTGAAGGGAAAAGAGAAAGAAAAACAAGAAACTCAGGGGAAAAAGACCAAATTGAAAACAGACACACGCACACACACACTCCTCTCTCTCCCTCCCTCCCTCTCTCTCACACTCCCTGCCTGCCTGCCTCCCTCCCTCCCTCCCTCCCTCTCACACACCCTCTCTCACTCAGACAGGCCAATCAAAGGGACCTCTTCGGCCTTTCCCCCCCAAGTTGTAGGAGACAGAGCTTTCTCTCTCACGCAGAGTTGTGTCAGCCTCTTGCTGCTTCTACCTCTGCCTGAGGCCTGGGTGCCCTGCGCCTAGCTGTTGCCCATCTTCCTGGCCCAGCAGGCCAAGAGACAAGGATAGACCAGGAGAAAACTTTGTAAGCAGAGAGTGGACCAGGAGGGCTTATCCCTTCCTTTGCTTCCTAACTGTCCTTGAACTCAGCCCCTCGGGGGGACAAACATACAGAAAGACCCCAAGCTAGCTACGCAGGCCCTCCTGAGCCTGGAGATTCCCACAAGGATGCTCTAGCACTGTCTCTGTCCGTCCTGCTGCTGGTCCTCGGGGCCAAGCGCTCTCCCTGTGCCCAGCCACTCCTGCTGCCTGGAGCCCCTTCCACCCGGGCCAAGGGAGGTGAGTTTGGAGACAGACAAGGAAAGGCAGCCTCTGGGGACTCCGTGAAGGTGTGTTGTTTGTGAGCAGGCATTGAACAAGACAGAGCCAAGAGAAGACCAAGGCAATCAGGTAGGTGCCTGGGTCCCCAGCTCTCCCTGCCCCCACCCCACCCCATTTCCAGGGCCCCTCTGCCATGTCTCAGCCGCACTTTGGTCAAGTTGAAAATGGAAAATATTTTTAGCGAAACCAGATGGGAGAAGCCCAGAGCAGAGTTGGGAGATGTCAGTTTGCAAAAGAGTTGAATCTCTTCTGCCATCCCCACACCCAGTTGGCCCTTATGCAGTCATTCCCACCAGAAGGGCCACTCTTTTTTCCCCCCTCTTCTACCCTGTGCCCCAAGAGCTAGCACCCTGCCCCCCTCCACTCCAGCCTCATTCACACAAAACCACTGGGTTTTCTGGGCTCCATTCTCCTGGCTCAGTATCTTAACAGCAGAGGGTCTGTTTGCCAGAGCCAGGAGGCGGGGCCTGGAGGGGTAGGGGTGGCTTGAGGGGCCAGAGAATGGGCAGGGTGGGAGGGGGACATTAAAAATGAGGGCTACTAAGGGAGGGGAGATGTTGAGAGGAAGGGGCTGTGAGGGGAGGAAGGATTATGAGAAGAGACAGACCATGAAGGGAGGGGACTCTGAGAAAAGTAGGGCTGAAGGGGGTGGAGTGGGGCGTACTTAAGTGGATCAGACTGGAGGAACAGGACGAGAGTTGTGGGGTGAGGTGGGGAGCAGGTCTGGAGGGGGTGGATAGATAGGGGACCAGGATTGTCAGAAGGTGGAGGGGGGCAATGAGTGTGAGACAGGAGTATAAAATAGGGAATGAGGCATCAGAATCAGCAAACAGAAGACTGGGGACCAGGGTTGGAGAGGGGAGACCTTCAGCCTCAGCCGTGAGTCTGCAGTCGTTTTCCCAGAAAGGATTTGGCTTCAGGCCAGTCCCTAGGGCCATCGAAGCCCCAGGGATTTAAAGGGCTTTGCAAATTTTCCAGATTCCTAAGATGTCCTTCCAAACCCCCAGCTGATGGGAAACTGTCAGTTTGTTGTAGCTGTCCTTATGCTGTTGGGGTGGGGGGTGGGGGAGGAGAGGAGGGGACAGGAACTGAGCTTGGGCAGCCTATGAATGGAGCCAGGGCTCCAGAGTGTGGGGGGTGGGGTTTCGGAGGGGGAGGGGACAATAGGAGACCTCCTAAGGAAAGCATTGATCTTTCAGACCTCTCTGCCTTTTGCTAAGGGGAGGGCCTAAGCAGAGATGGGGGGACAAGAGCGATAGGAGGACCCTGGCAGATCCAGCCCCTCAGTCATGATAGTTTTTCTAGGTAGCTGTAGGATAATTGAGGTATACGTTTGTGCCAACCAGGGCATGGCTTCATCCCGTCCAGTGCTGAGAAATATTTCTCTAATTCATCTCCTTTTCACTCCCACAGTCACTATCCAGGCCAGGTCCTCATCCTCTTTTGACAGAATGCATTATTAAAGTGATGTTTTGTGAGTACTTGGAAAAGAAAGCAGTGATTACTATGAGCCAGCATGGGTTCATAAAGAATAAGTCATGCCAGAGTAACCTCATTTCCTTTGACAAGGCCATACCCTACACATAGCAGAGCTGGATTTCAGCAAGACGTTTAGTACGGTCTCCCATTCTCTTGTGGAATGTGTTAGACAGGAGTGATTAGATAGAGCAGGCTAGATAGTAGCACAATTAGGGGAACTCAGAACTGGTCGAATTGCTCATCCCCACAGCAACTGTTCCAGATCTTTCCCTTTCTCCTAAAGTCCCCAACGGCAGCCTCAGCATTTAACAGCAGATGACCTAAGCTTCACTGAGAGAGAAAAACCATCTGAAGTGAACTCCCCCAGGACCTTCGTCCATCCCTTAAAATTCAGCAGAGGCATCCTGTCTCAGACTAAGCCAAGGCTGGCCTTCTAGATGGATTCTTGATCCCATCCCCTCCTGACCCTTCTCTGTTGCTCATCAATCATCCCTTTTCTCATGCATCTCCAGTCTCTCCTCCAGGAATGCTTTCCAATGGTCTCCCCATATCTTAAACAAAAGAACGTTCCACTGACCCTTCTACTCCTCCCAACTACTTTCTAACACCTCTCTTCTCTTTCACTGTCATTTTGAAAAAACAACTGTCACGTGATGTAGATGCTTGATGATGTCATAGTTCTTCCTCACTACTGACCCTCGGTGGCACAGTGGATAGAACGCCAGGGTCGGAACCAGGAAAGATTTATCTTTCTGAGTTCAAATCTGGCCTCAGACACTTCCTAGCTGTGTGACCCTGGGCCAGTCACTTAACCCGGTTTGCCTCAGTTTCCTCATCTGTAAAATGATCTCGGAAGGAAATGGCAAACCACTCAGTTATCTTTGCCAAGAAAACCCCAAATGGGGTCATGAAGAGTGGGACACGCCTGGACAACAGTAACACCCATTCTATTTTCAGTCTCCTCTCTCTTACTAAGTTCAAACTCCTTATCTTAGCTTTCAGGGCTCTCCATAATCAGGTGCCACTCTATTTTTCCAGATTCACTTAGTGCTACTGCCGTCCCTAGGCTGGACTCTTTAGTCAAAATGAACTGCTTATCCTCCTCAGTGAGTACCACAAACTGAGTCCTTGACTATCTTAACTGTTGTTTTCTTTGTCCGAATTCCATTCCCTCCTCCTAATCTCTATCTATTGAGTTTCAGGGTGCCTCCATGAGGCAGTTTGCAAGGGCAGTGTAGAGCTTCGGATATGGAGTCAGGAAGATCTGAATTCAAATCTGATCTCAGACACTTATTAGCTGTGGAAGTCATTTAACCTCTATCTGACTCAACCGCAAAATGGGAACAATAATAACACCTACCTCCCAGGGTTGTTGTGAAGATCAAATGAAATAATAGTTGTAAAAAGCCTGGCACATAGTAGTCACTTAATAAATGATGCTTGTTTCCTTCCTATCTGTATGTTGAAGCTCAGTTAAGATGTCACATCCTCTAGGAAGCTTTTTATGATTCCCTCAGTCAATAATAATTTTTCCCTTCACAGATGTTGATAACCCATTACTTTTGTGTGTTCTGCCCTTGTCCAGCATGGTGTGGTTGAAGGATTAGTGTTAAAGACTTAGGCTAAAGAGCTGGGTTCTAGCCTCAAATAACCCTGGGCAAATCATTTTTATCTGTAACATGAGAATAATAATACTTGAAATATCCAACTCATAGGGTGTCAGGAGAAAAAAGCTTTGTAAACCTTAAAAACGACACTCGTCGTTGAGTCATTTCAGTTGTGTTTGACTCTCGCGGTGACCCTTTTTGGGGTTTTCTTGGTAAAGATACAGAAATGATTTGCCATTTCCTTCTCCAGCTAATTTTACAGATGAGGAAACTGAGGCAAACAGGGTTAAATACTTGCCCAGGGTCACACAGCTAGTAAGTGTCTAAGCCTAGAATTGAACTCAGGTTCTCCTGAATCCAGGACCAGTGCTCTATCCACTGCGCCACGTAGCTTCCCTTGAAACACTATGCGAATATAATTTTTTTCATATCTTGGTTATTTGTGCTTGTATCATATCTCCATACTACATAGTAAAGTGAATGACAGAATGGGTTATATTTTTATCTAATCTTTGTGTTTTCCCGGCATCTCTAGCAGGGTTCTGGACACAGTTAAGTAGGTGCTTAACAAATGTTTGTTATTGAATTGAATTGAATAAACAGCTCCTGCTGCCCTGGCTGTATTCCCACAGAAAGAGGACAGAGGGGCAGAGAGGCATATATCAGAATGCACCAGGGGCTAACCAGTCCCCCTGGACTCCTCTCCTGTTTGAGGGGTTGTCTCCTAGTACAGCTGTGAAATCCTTCCCTGCTGCTTTGCCCTCTGTGTGATGGGAGGCAGAGACAGTTTTAGATCCACAAACACTCCCCTCATCCCTTCATTACTGTTCATTTCATTGAAAGGGCTATTTGAAGTCCCTTCTGCCTGCCTCTCCCTGTCTTGGGAAGCCTTGCATTTCTGTTTACGGGGGTGAAACTATGAAAATCTGCCAGCAGATGCCCTCTCTACAAAAGGAAAGAGAGAGGGGAGCTACCAAGATAGAACCTTTAGGGAAGGGAATGAACATTTCTATAAGCATTCACTATGGGCCAGGCACTGTGCTTAGCACATTTACAAATACTATCTTATTTGATTTTCACAACAGCTCTGAGAGGTAGGCGCTATTATTATCTCTATTTTACAGTTTAAGAAACTGAGGTAGGCAGAAGTTAAGTGACTTTCCCAGGGTTTCACAGTTGGGAAGTGTCTGAGGCCAGTTTTGAACTCAGATCTTCTTGGCTCCAGATCCAACATTGGACCACAATATTTTAATTTTAAAATACTAACTTTAATTTTAAAATATGATGAAGTTTTTTAATGTTACATTTTAAATTACATTTAAAAATACAATTGTTAAACTTCTTTTTTATATTTCCTGTATTTCCCAATACACTTCTTTCCTTTCCCTCCCAATGTCCCTAACTTTCAGAGTAAAGTTCAAAATCCTGACATTCGAGGCCCTCAAAAAATATGGTGACATTTGGTCTTTCTAGACTTGTCTCAAACTACCACCACATCTCCAGCCATACTGGACAACTCTCTATCCCTAGGGCACGGGTTTTTAATCTTGTGAACTTGTGTTTTTTTTAAAAAATATTTTGTTAATTATACTTCAATATAATTTGTTTCCTTTGTAATCTTGTGTATTTTATACCATTAAGACCATTATTTTGATAAGGCGTCCATCGGTTTTACTGCATTGGCAAAGGGATTTATGACACAAAACAATGTTAAGAACCCCTGCCTTATAACAAAGAAAAAGAAGGGGAAAAAACAGTATGGCAAAATGAACCAACCAAGGCATTGGCTACCTCTTACATTAGAAGCAGCATTCCATCCCCATACACATTCCCTGTAGGGGTAGAACTACAACAGAATTAGGGAAACTCAAGGGCTTGAGCCTCAAAAAAAATGTGTTGAATTGTTTCAATCATGTCTGGTTCTTCCTGACCTCATTTGGGATGGTTTGCCATTTCTTTTTTCCAGCTCATTTTACAGAAGAG